ATATTTAAAAAAAAAAATAAATAATAACGGGTTATAAAAAAAAGATATTAATCTAGGCTTGTGAGCCTTTCTCAAGCCCACACGCTTGAGTTTTGTTGTAATAAAGCCTTTGAGTTTGTGGCTTTTTATTATTTTTTTATTTTTTTTTTATTTTTTTATATGATATTTTTATTTAATTTTATCTTTTAGTGTAAATTAATTTTTTTATTTTTAATCATATAATAAAATAAAACAATTAATTCAACCAACTGAAATCCATACCTTAAGTCTAAAGTTTGGCGGGTTTAACAAATTCCACCTAGTAGAATTTATAATTTGACTTATTTCTATTTTTTATTATTTGAAATTTTTTAATAAATAATATCACATTAAAATAACTCTTATATTATTTAATTTAAAATTTAGAATAAGAGTTGGGTTAAAAGTTTTTGAAGTTTATTTCCTATGCTATGGCTTTGTTGTAATAAACTAATAACTTTTTTATTGGCAATTTGAGCTTTATTTTTTCCTTTTGTTTTTTAATATTTTATTTTTATTTTTTAATATAAATTTTTATTAAATTTTATCATTTAGTATTAAATTAATAATATATTAATTTTCATATATTTTTAATAAATAAAAAAAATAAAAAAAATTATTCAATATAATAGAATCCATAACCTGGATTATAAGCTTGAAGTTGATTAAAGTGAATTTTGCATGTTTATATTTTTTTTTGGACCTATTTAGTTAACAAAGTTAAGTAAAAAAAACTTTTTTTTATGATTTAATTCAAAATTCAATCAAAACAAGTAAAAAATAAATTTAAATTTAAATCATTGTAGAATGTTAAATTATATGTGATGGTATATATATATATATATATATATATACACATTCTATAAAGTTTTGCGCCGTGTAGCAATAGCTTGGGAAACAAACTGTCATGAAACACTTTGATTTACCATCAAATCAAGGATAAAAAATGTGGGGCCGTGGATCATATTAAATGGGGGTAACTTTATTTTATAATAATTAATAAATATATCTTATTTATTCTTAAGATTTTTTTTAAGTGAAGGTCTTTGTCATTGCCCAAGAAACCTTTAACTTAAGCCAACTCTAACTGCCTATAAATAACCTACAGGTAGAATAACCTAATTACCTTTCAAGTTATAACTCTTAAAACTAGCTAAAAGGAGTACTTTAGTTTTTATAATTTTTTTAAAAATAACATAGTGACATTTTTACTTGTAGAATAAAAAAATAAGCATGCGTGGCACCTCCACGATCAAAATTGCTTTTTAACCTGATGCATTGTCATGTTTTTTTAGTGGTGCAAGGCGTGTCAGCGGAGATGGGATAATTTATCATTGATAATTTTTTTAAAAAAAAATTATATATTAATCTTTTTATATTTTAATATTTCAACTTTAATTTTTTTTTATTTTATTTATAATTTTTATTTGTAATTATTTTATAAAAATTTTATTTATTTTTAATTTCATACTTCAATCTCATTTTATCATATTTTTTTTTAAATTGATCATTATTCTCTTAATTTTTTATTTTTTATTGATTTTTTTATAAAAACTTTATTAATTTTTAATTTCATCATTCACTCCAAAATAATTGTATATTATTTCTTATAATTTTGTCCTAATTTTTTTATTATGTTATTAAAGTTATTATTCTTTTTAATTTAACCCTCAAATAAAAAAATTTGTTGTTTCCTTTAATTTATTTTTTATTTTGATTCTAATCTTATTCTTTTATTTTTTTATTTTTTTAATTTTAATATTTTTATATGATATTTTTTTTATTTCATTCTGCAATATTTTATTTGTTAAAGATTGAGCTTTAATGTTTTTTTTTATATTTGTGCTTCTAATTTAATAATTCAGGTTACGAGTTTTAAAAGTTGTCAAAGGCTGGAATTCTCTCTTTTTTTGCTTATTTTATTTTTTAATTTTATTTTTTTATATTATTTTTTTCTTAAAGTAGTTTTGTGTTTTTTTCATTTATTTTATATTAATTTATTCTAATTTCATAATCTAATACGTAGATTAAGTTGGAGTGGCTTGCTTCTTAATGCATGTCTATAGTATTAGATTTACTCACAATGATTTTTTATTTTTTATTATTTGAATTTATTCTTTTATATTTAACTGATTAAAAACTAAATAATATTATTTTTTAGTTTATTAGATAAAAGTATTTTTAGGTTGTTATGATTACTCATTTTATTTTATTTTTTATTTTTTTGTTATTATTATTTTTTTATTCAATTTAAATAAAACTAATTTATTTAACTAATCAAAGCTATAATGCAGGTCATTAAATTTTTTTAAAAAAAAAGAAGAGGAAGAAGAAGCATTTACAATACCAAAGTATTTTATAAAAAAAAAATAGTGTGTAACACTGCAACATAGGAAGGGACCACGTCTACTACGACTAGAAGAGTTTCTATTTATTGACATTTGGATTTGTTCAACTTTTATTTTGAAAGACGAGCTGAGAGTTTATCAACTAAACCAAACCAGTTAGAAGTATGTGAACTTATGTTAGCACTAATTGATTTATTAATTAATTACATATAAAATATATTATGTTTCTTTCGAATAATCTATTAATAAAGGTTAATCTTTTATTAACAAATGTCAAGTGGAGTGTATTATCCTGTTAAAGGTTTGACCCGACACAAAACTCACAAGTTGCGGATTATTGAAACAATAGGGCAATCTTTTTTTTTCTTTCAAATTACATCATGTTGTTTTTTTCAAAAAAATTACTTAGTTTCGACCCATGGATTTAGATGGAGTTTAGAAAATTCAATCAATTTATAAATCAACTTGTTAAATCATTTGAATTTAACTAAATTAATATTAAAATTAAATTAAATTAAATTCTGATTTAAGTTTTGCATCATGAGTTTTCTAAATCAATTCATTAAATTACCTTGATTTGATCATATTAATATTAAAACTAATTTAAATTTAAATTCAATTCAAAATAATAAAACATCTAAATAACATGAAGTAAGTTTAGTTATTTCTATAAACAATAAACCTGGTTAATATATTTATTTAAATTGTTTGATGAAAATTTTATTTTATAGTTAAGTTGATTAGCATATATGTTTTAGTTTAAAGTGGTAAGTTTGATTTGTGTTGGGAATAATATTATATATAATTTTATAAATAATACATTATTTATAAAGTTAGTCCGTTAAATTATTTAGGTTTGATGGTGAAACATATTTTTTATATAAAAAAAGTTATTTTTAAAAAAAATAGCATCCACTCTTTATTAAAAAAAAATAATGGGTCAAGCATGCAACCATCTCTAGCCCATGCTTTTAGACTTTGTTTTAATAGGGTTTTTTTTTTATTTTTTTAGATTTATTTTAATTCCATCATTTAGTGTGATGTTTTTATTAAATTGTATTATTCAATATTAAATTAATAATAAATTTATTTTTATGTTTTTATCATATAATAAGATGAAAAAATTAATTCCATTTAGTGAAGTCTATAACTATGATCACAAATATAATGGATTAACTAGGTTAGCATGATCTATTTCTTCATTTTTTCCTTGATTTTTTTCTTTGAATCTATTCAATTGACAAGGTTACATCAAGATAACTCTAATCCAATTTAATTTATAATTTAAATAAAAAAAATCAAGTTAAAAGATTTTAAGTTTAAAAAAGTTTCATGTTTCTTTATGTTCCAAACAGTTTGATGCAAGCTACACTGGAGTTACAAACGATAAAATTAACTAAGGAGACACAATTCAGACCATAAATTACGAGTTTTCCGAATCATCCAAGTTTGTCGAATTAAGCAATAAAGTCAGGCCAGGTTTATAACCATGCATTCTCTTGCATGTGGTTTGTATATAAGATATATTTACATGCAAAACCCAGCTAGCTCGGGAGCTAGGATTTGTGCAATGGATCGGCAGCCCACATATCCAAGAAGGTTCATGTCTGAACTTTGAAGTAGGAACTGGGTTCAAGTTGTGGAAAATGGGACAGGCACAAACAGAAGTTCAGTTCAAAGGCTTTCTCGGGCGTCTTTCTCTGGATTTGTAATAGAAGTTGTCTTTAACTTAATTTTATGGGTTTTTTTTTTTGAGATTTCAGGCATATAACTTGGCTTTAACTCAAGTTTAAGAGCAGAAAATTGTCCCGTCTGCCAAGGTGGGGCGGGGGCCCGAAAAGTATGTCCAAATTCAAAGCGCAGAACACCCAGTCAACATTATTAACACTTGAAGACTTGGAAGTCGAAGCTCACTGGCTTGCTTGGAAACTTACTTCATTCATTAGTATCCTCTGCGAAGACTAACAAGCTAGCGATGTCCCCACAGCAGAGAACGATTGCAGAGAAAGTTTCAACGTTTTTGAGTTAAGAGATAGAAATTCACCCCCAAATCCTTCATTATCATGATGTAGAATATGTTTCCAAGACGCGTTCTTCCCATTTATAAGTTTCATCTTAGCTTGAAGATAACGCGGTGAAGCGTTTCTTTTTGGGACCAAAGGACAAAAAAAATAGATATTCAAAAAAAGTAATGTAAGGACAAAAAAAAAAATAGATATTCAAAAAAAGTAATTATAAATCAAGCAAAATAATATTAGATATCTTGATGAATTTCATTTGATATTTATTTAGTGATGTTTAGAAGTATAAATAATTTTTTTAAAACAATATTTTATTTTAAAATATATTAAAATAATATTTTTGATGTGATTTTTATGTGTTGGAGTAAGATATAATATAATCATAAAATGAATATGTCATCGGTGTCATGTTATGTCACCATACCTAATAAAACTTATCTCGTAATTCTCTCAATGCCCTCCAAAAGTATTTATCGACTGTAATGTTTTATGAGTAATTCATATGAAGACCAGGGGCAATCTGTCAAATTAAAATTCAGCCATCTACCCTTATCAATGCCAGCATCTCAATTCCTCCATCACTCATTTCTTTTGTGAAGAAGGGGGGGAAATCATGGACAGAGAACAAGAAGAGCTCCAGTTTCTTGGGTTCTGTGGCATCTTCAAAGAATCCTTCAAGATCGTCTTTACATGGAGAAAAATCTTCAGCCAGATAACCCTAGCTCTCATCCTTCCACTATCCTTCATCTTCCTAGCTCATATGCAAATATCCCAGTTAATTTTCTTCAATATCCTTGTCAATCAAGATGCCTTAGACTTCACCCAATCTGGCACACCAAAACATGATAAACTCTCTGATAACATCTCCGCGGAATGGACTGCCTTTTGGCTCTTCAAATTTGCCTACTTCACTTTCCTTCTAATCTTCTCCCTTCTTTCCACATCTGCAGTTGTTTATACCATAGCTTGCATATACACTGCCAAGCCAATCACCTTCAAGAAGATCATGAGTGTTGTGCCAAAGGTGTGGAAGAGACTAATGGTCACCTTTATATGGAGTTTTGTTGTTGTTGTGCTCTATAACATCATTGCAGCTGTGGTGTTTTTAACCTTGTGGACTCAAGTTGTTTTTCATGTAAATGCAGTCGGATTTAGAATTGCGGTTCTTGTTGCTCTTATAATCATATATTCCGTGGGGATGTTGTATATCACCATAGTATGGCATCTGGCTAGTGTGGTCTCTGTTTTAGAAGATTTTTACGGGATTAAAGCCATGATCAAGAGCAAAAACCTAATCAAGGGCCAGATGGGAGTTACAGTAGCTGTTTTCATTGTGGTTGGAGTTTGTTTTGTGGGAATTCAGCTGCTATACGAGATTTTTGTGGTTTTGCACAAGCCATTGGGAGTCAGAATTGGGGTGGGAATAGTTTGCTTCTTCTTGCTCTGTAAGGTGATGCTCTTCGACCTTGTCATCCAAACTGTTCTCTACTTCGTGTGCAAATCCTATCACCATGAGAATATCAACAAGTCCTCCTTGTCAGATCATCTTGAGGTTTATCTTGGGAAGTATGTTGCTCTGAAGTCCAAGGATGTCCAAATGGAGCAAATTCAAGTCTAGATCTTCCTTTCTGTTTTATCTAGAGGTCTTAAAACCATATGTAGTCATGCTAGGCAAGCATCCCAGAGTGTGTTGCGGGATGGTCCATTGTTGATTATTTAGGTATTATTGTAAATAAACGAATAAACTATCAATGTGATCATCTCGATTCTCCTTGTGTTTCTATATCATATTATATTATAGGATCATACCTTAGTCCATCCCAGGTGCAGGTAGTCCATGCCAGATGCGGGTTTAATTTTAAAAATATTTTTAAGATTATGGTTATTTTTAAAAATATTAAAATAATAATATATTAGATTAATCCGAATCAATCTAGATTAACTTATCAAAACTCTAATTAAACTCATAACTTTATTGAATTTAATAAATTTATTTGTTCTTTTATAAATTTATTTTTATTTAATTATATAATAAAAAAATAGACGTTTATAAAATCGAATACTAACTCAATATTAGGATATTTTTTTAAAATCACGATATCCTCGTAAAAATAAATTAAAATAAATTATGAAGTTTGGGATATTTTTTTTAAATCACGATATCCTCATAAAAATAAATTATGAAGTTTAATTTTTAATAATTATTTTTTTTTAATTATTTTTTATTTAATGATATAATAAAAAAATACTCAGAAAACTGAACACCAACTCGATACCTATATATTTTTCTAAGATTGCAATAATTTTATAGAAAATAAATCAAAATAAATCATGAAGTCCAAATCATAATAATTAATTTTTAATCATTTTTTATTTAACAATATGATAAATATTTTTTATTTAATAATACAGTAAAAAAATATGATAATAAAACTAATGACGGGATTTTTTTTGGAGACCATGATAAGCCCGTATAAAAGAAACAAAATAAATAACAAACTCTAATTTCAATAAACTCAATGTTAGAAAGATATAAATGACAATAAAAAAAAATATTATTACTATTCCAATAAATAGTGACATACAAGAAAGGAACAATAATTTCCCCTCCTCATTTAGATTTGTTAATTAGATTGATGGCCTACTTTATGTTATTGGTCAAACCAAACTTATTTTCAGCTAAAAAAAACATTTAAGTGACGGTAATGTTTTTAACTAAATAAAAAAAATTAAGAGTTGGGTTAAATCTCGATTAATTTGATAATATGATAAAAAAAATAAAAACAACAACCAAAAAAATAAATAATAAAACTTAATATTGGGTTGAGTCAAGCTGGGTTAATACGTGAAACTTGAAATCGATGTATGTGATTAGGATAGAAGGATGGAATAAAAAATATCAATTGTAAAAAAGAACTTCAAAAAAAGATCTAAGTCAACCGGGTCCAATTATTCAAACTCAACACCCAAAAGGTTAACAAAATTCCAATCAATAAAATATTGAGGGGTGAAATAAAAAAAAAAATCCTAGTAAAAAATGATTAAAAAGAAACTATATAGCAATAAAAAAAATAAGGATCAAATCTGATATAAAATAAAATAAACTAAAATAATAAGGAATGTAATTCAAAAAATAATTTAATTAAGAGAATGATATAAAATATTGAGGGATATAATTAAAAGGATAATTTAATTAAGATAGTGATTAAAATTTAAAATAATAACAATAAAAAGAAAGAGTATTAAATCTGAAATGTAAAAAAATCAAAAAAAAATAAATCAAAAAAAAATCTCAAATTTATGAATTACTTAAAAAAAATTAAATTTAAAAAAAAATAAAAAGCTGCTTTGAAAATATACAATAGAAGCCTCTAAAATCAAGAAAAGACCTCTAAAATCAAGGAGAAAGGAAATAAATAATGAAAAAAAAAATGGTGATAGGTGCAAAATTCGATATTTTTTGTTACACGTGTTATCTAGTAGTGGAGTTACGCCGTAAGGATTAAAATGTCATCATAAAAGCTAAATTTTGGACATCAGACAATGTTGTACATATCATTCGAAGAGTACCTACCCGCATCCACGTGTAACTAACTTTTAAAATTAAATAACATTTAATACATGTTCAAATACTAAATTACCCCTAATTAAACATGATAATTATATTAATTCACTTATAAGCGTAGGAGAGATCACTTCCTTCCTTTTTTCCATGGGAATGGTGCTTCTTGTTCATGGTACTTTGGACTCCAATTAAATAATAGCTTTAACCAAATCGAATTGGGCTCCTTTCATGTTCAAAAGACATATGATCTATCATCTTTACGTAATCTAAACCTTCTAGACATATTTATTTAAGAAAACACAAAAAAATTATGAACTGTTTTCTTCAAATACATGTGGCTATTAGAAATTAATTACTTTCCTTTCATATATAATTTTGACTTTACGATGGATAATAAAAAAAGAAGGAGAAATTAGAACAAACATTAAATATATAAACCTGTAACATCGAGTAGGATTAATTCTGAAAAAAGAAATCTCACTAATTTCTCACTGTGTAGACCTCTCAATCCTTTAATAAGACTTTCATTGGTTAGAAAAACAATTTCCAACTCTTTTTTTTTTGTTTTGTATAAATCGAAAAATGCATTAGCACAGAAAATCAAATTAAAAAAAAAACTTGTATCAAGACACCATAATAATAATTGAGAATTTTCAAACTCAAAGCAAAATGAGTAGGAGAGGTTATAAATTATGCTTCAATATTAGGAGGTGTTTGAAGCAATTATAAATATTATTTTTTAAAATATTTTTATATAAAAATATATTTTTTAATATAAAAATATTAAAATAATTTAAAAAATAACAAAATAATAATGCAATCACTATACTAATCGGTGTGAAAAACATGAAATCTAAACATTTAAATTCCACTCTTTTTTATATATGTTAAAACTTTTTTTTTATAACTCAAGATATTCAGATCCGTTTATATATATTATAACTAATTTTTAAATTTATTGGACATCTTATAAATTTAATAAACAGATAAAATATCAAATATCACAAAATAAAAAATATATATATAAAAAATCAAATCTAAATACAAGAGAAAATATATTTAGATTAACTTATATATATTATAATTTATCTTTAGAAAACTTATCTTTAAATTTTTTAAATATTTTATAAATTTAATAAACAGATAAAACATCACAACATAACAAACATAATCATAAAAAATCAACCCTCAGTGCAGGAGAAAAGGGACAATTTCCTCACATGCTAAAGCCCCTTTCTTACTATTGCAAAAGGTTGTTTCCTTAATGGAATCCACCTTCGAAAGGTTGTTCGCAAGAAAATTGGAATTCAGAACGCCCTGGATTGGATTGGAATCTTCCTCGTCTGGTTTTCCATTTGTAAGTCCACGCCTGGTAGACTAATAAGTTATATATGTCCTGCTTTTAAGTCTTGAATAATTAATTTATCGATGCTGTGTGGGTGAATTACTGATATTATTAATTTGTTGTCATCCGACATGGACACGTAGTGATGTTTCATCTTTTTCTCCCTTCTAACCATTTCTATTATAACTAGACTTAATTAATTTCAAATAATTAAGAAAGATATCGAATGATTCTATTGGTTAACACACAACAAATGATACTTTTAAGCTTAAGCAAAAATGATATATTTTTTATTTTTAATTTATTTTTAATCTAAAGTTTCCAACTTATAGGTGCCCACAATTTTCATGGAATGGTGACTGGCTAGCTTAAAATTAACACCATGTGTATGCCAATATTGCAACATAGCCAATCACCCGATAATATAATTCTTATAATCCCTTCATCACCCTCCAAAAATTTATCAATACTATAATGTTTTACAAGTAATTCATAAGAAGACCATGGGCAAATTGTCAAATGAAAGTCCACTCTTGTTCTCTGAAATCTGCCTTTTAATGCCAACGAGGCAACAACTCAAAGCCTCCCTCCATCACCCATTTCTTTGTGAAGAAGGAGAGGGAAAAAATCATGGACAGAGAACAAGAAGAGCTCCAGTTTCTTGGGTTCTTTGGCATCTTCAAAGAATCCTTCAAGATCATCTTGACATGGAGAAAAATCTTCAGCAAGATAACCCTCGCTCTCATCCTTCCACTATCCTTCATCTTCCTTGCTCATATGCAAATATCCCAAATGATTTTCTTCAAGATCCTTGACAATCAAGATACCTTAGATGGCACCCAAGTTGGCACGCCAAAACATGATAAACTCTCTGATATCATCTCCTCGGAATGGACTGCCTTCTGGCTCTTCAAGTTTGCATACTTCACTTTCCTTCTAATCTTTTCCCTTCTTTCCACATCTGCAGTTGTTTATACCATTGCTTGCATATACACCGCCAAGCCAATCACCTTCAAGAAGATCATGAGTGTTGTGCCAAAGGTCTGGAAGAGGCTCATGGTCACCTTTATATGGAGTTTTGTTGTTGTTGTGCTCTATAACATTGTTTCCATAGTGGTTTTGATCATCTTGTCCGTTACACTTATTAACCATGTATCTGCAGCTGGCTTCAGGATTTTGTTTCTTGTTGTTCTTGTTATCTTATATTCTGTGGGGTTACTGTATATCACCATAGTTTGGCATCTGGCGAGTGTGATTTCTGTTTTAGAAGACTTTTATGGGATTAAAGCCATGATGAAGAGCAAGGAATTGATAAAAGGCAAGATGGGAATCGCAGCTGCTACTTTTGTTGTGGTTGGAATATGTTTTGTGGGAATTCAATTCCTGTTCGAGACTTTTGTGGTTCTTGAGTGGACAATGGAAATCAGAATTGGAATGGGATTACTTTGCTTGTTATTGCTGTTTAAGGTGATTCTCTTCGGCCTTGTCATCCAAACAGTTCTCTACTTCGTCTGCAAATCCTATCACCATGAGAATATTGACAAGTCCTCCTTATCAGACCACCTTGAAGTTTATCTTGGGGAATATATCCCTCTCAAGTCCAAGGATGTCCAGATGGAGCACTTCGAAGCCTAGATCTTAATTCTTACAGTAGTTTTCTGTTTGTTTGTTTTTTTCCATAAATTATTCCTGACTTTGGAGGTATTGA